TTTTTTCCTTCACAGATGCTGCCAAACCTGCTGGGCTTTTCCAGCAACTTTGTTTTTGTTCCCGATTTACAGCATCCACAGTTCTTTCAGTTTTTACAGAAAAAAGATTATTTTGCAAGCCATGAGCACCTTAAAAGCTGGCCAGCTCTGTGTTGGTATCTAGCTCATTCATGCCAAAGGCTATTTCAAATTTGAAAGGAGTCAGCCCTGCACTGTACTAAGAAAACATATTCCTACATTCAAACAACAAAAAACGTGGCCCCTATTCAAGTACAGTGCTGAAAGCAGATGGATGGATTCCAAATTCCCCACAATGCACTAGACAACACAGGATCTCCTGAGTTCAAACTTTTCAAAGAATGTAGTTAAACTTCATAGATCAAGCTGTTTCAGAACTGCTTGAATAAGCCATCAAATACTGATAGTAGTCGATAATGGGGCTTTCACTGAGACAATACCTCAGGCTTATTTGAATAGGATTTGAAAGATTAGTTGTATACTATCTTCATCCTGCCTTTTTGTCAAGAAGCACATTCTGCATCATAGAAAATTTGAATATCGGTGGCTTGACAAGATCGTGTTCAGTTGCCTTCTGACCATGATTCTTGCTGGTGTTGGTCATCCATATCCAGAGGTGTGGCTCTGAAGTTTAACATGGCAACAGGAAAGACCTGTTCTGTCTTACATTTCAGGATAAGTGATTCGAAGATGTTAACCATTTGCTTGGCGAGGCTGCTTGATTTGGGGAAGTGTGGTGAGTATGTCACATGGTTCATGTCCCATTTAAAGCATATATCCTTTAAAAGATTTGCCTGAATACTAGTTCCCATTGTTAGAAATGATTTCCTGAGATGCACTAAACAGACTGAATTTGCTACTCAATATGTATCTCACTGTCATGTTTTAAGCGTTCTTTACCTGTCTGACAATTGGAAATTTCAAGAAATAATCAGTGACTAAGATGGTATCATCTCCGTTCACTGTAAATAAATCAGTAGAATCTCACGTAGGTGTAGAGGGTTTTCTGTTGCTGTGGTAGCTCTGGAAAACTCACTGGACTTTTGGCAGTCACTGTTTAGCCTTGACCAACAAATGTAATACGGGCTAGTCATCTTATTTGTCATGTTGGTGTAGTTGTGACAGTACATCATGTTGGATAGCTTCAGCACAAGCAATTGTTTTCATTTGAAGAT